AAGTTTGGGAAGGCTGGAAATGGGCTCCAGAGGACCTCCGAAGCCTGGGGAGGCCATTTTTGCCCTCCTGGAGGCTCAAGAAAAGCCTCAGAAGCCTGGGGAAGGCAAAAAGCCCTCCCCCCGCGCCATGGTGCAGGAGGCCACACCCACCATGGCCACACCCACCCAGCAACCGGGCAGAGAACCCCTTGCTAAAACTTTTGAAGCCCACCCCTGCTTACAACAATTTGTGTTGCAAGGCACTGAAAAAGGTTAGACTGTTAAGGCATTCCTCCCATTTAGAAACATGGCAGCATCCTCATGGTATTGTGATCAAGATCTGGGCAATTGGAAACCATGTATATATGACGACTGCAGGATCTGGGGATCCTGTGATCACCATTTGCAACTTTCCCAGCTGACTTCTGACAAGCAAAGTCAATGGGGGAAGCTGGATTTGCTTAACAACCATATGATTAATTTAACAACTGTAGCGATTCACTTAACAGCTATGGCCAAAAAAAAGATGGCAACAACAGGTGTGGCTTGCTTAAAAACCACTTTGTTAGCAATGGAAATTCTGGTCCCAATTGTGGTTGTAAATCGAGGGCTGCTTGCATTGTCTTCTGAATATGGGCACCTTTGTAGGGAGCAGAGGGAGGGGGTGGTACCATGTGTCACTCTTTTGAATTAGAATTAGAATTCTTTACTGGCCAATGTGGTTGCACACACAAGAAATTTGTCTTTGGTGCATATGCTCTCAGTGTACATAAGGAGAATAAAATACATTCATCAAGAATAAAAAAAATACAACATTTAGTGATAGCCAAGGTTACTAATAAGCTATTAAATTGTAATAGCTGGGAAACAAATAAAAACAATATAAATTGAAAAATACAAGCAACATGATTATAGTCATAAGTGGGAAGAGATAGGTACTAGGAAGGAAGATAAGAAGAATAGTAATACAGTCTTAGTAAATTATTTGACAGTGTTCTGGGAATTAGTTGTTAAGCAGAGTGGTGGGAGCAGAGCTAGTTAGGAAACAAACACCAGGAGAATGCCTGGAACTCTTCCTTACTGAGATATGGGGTGTTGAAACCCTGACTGTGTTTTCCCTTCCCTGCTTCTTACATCCCAGGGAATTAAGATGGAATCAGACTGAGTTTCTTTTTCATGCTTCTTTCATTATCCGTGTTTTTAGTTTATTGATCTGGTTTGATTTATACAGCCACCCATGTCGCATTGGCGACTCTGGACAACACATAGAATTAAAATAATCATGCCAAGCCCACCCCCTAATTAACAGAATACTGTGCAGATGTCAATAAAAACTACAGCCCTATTAAAATCAACATAATAACATAAAACATAATGAGTAGGCAAATGAATACAAGTCACACACCAATCAAAATAACCTCTCAGAATTATTGGGAAAATAGGAAGAGAAGAGTATTACATAGGTTCACCGCCTTGAATTATTTATTAAAAATAAGGCACAAAATAGTTGATAGATTAGATAGATGATAGATAGATAGATGATAGATAGATAGATAGATAGATAGATAGATAGATAGATAGATAGATAGATAGATAG